AAATGTATGCTGCTGATGAAGCGCGCATTGGAGCTGTACCGCATTCTCAGCGAGAACGGCGCCTACCTGTACGACCTATCGAGCACACTATTCACCAACGAACCTCTCAGCAAGCAATACGTATGTTATCGTTTCAGTACTGTATGTTTGTGCGTGTAAGGTGAACTTAGCGCATGAACGAATGGTACTTGCGAGACTGGCAAGTGTCGTGTGGTTGGTCTCTGAGAAGCCTCTAAGCGCCCCTACAAGGGTATTTACTAGTAGACTCGCATTCCACGGCAGCTGGGGCAAGTGGCACAAGTTGTTGCTCCTGACGAAGGTTCCCCTGCCAAACAGATAGCGACCCCAAATTTGGGTGTCTTAGGATCACCCTCTCTCATGTGCGATATTACATTGGGCTATTGTATTTCAGCTTCCTCGCTTGAAAATCCCGCACGAAAAGCTCACCGCTGAGATCGAAGAACTGATCGGTGCGAGCGACGTGACCATCGAGATAACGCCGTGCGCGGAGAGTGCGCACACATTCAACGTGGCCGATTTTAACAACTCGGTGACGAACGACTTGACTCGCCAGGACCACACACTGCGACAGTTCTTCGAGATCCTCACCAATCACTCGGCACTGCAAAAGTGAGTTTCTTGTTTATCCAGTGAGCGATTCCGATTTTACTTGCAATGAGAGCGATGGGAAAGGAAGAGTGAAGAAGCGATGGGAAAGGGGAGGGGGGTGCGCTTGCGTTTTCACTTGTCGCTTCTTTGTCTTTATCTTCTTGACTTTCTTTTTTTGATTTTATGCGTTCTTAATGGAGTACACCTTTAAATTTACCTTCTTCTGGGGCCAGCGATCCTATTTCATTGCATTCTTTTATGTGTATTTCTAATTTCTTCGCTGAATAATTTCTAAGCCGATTCTAGCCGATTGTAGCATCCATGTTGATCTAGAGTGCCAATGTAAGGATGTAAGGAAGACGTATAAGCAGAGGAAAAATAGTAAAAAAAAACAATTGAGTTAAGATGCTTCGGTCCACTAAGTCATATACGTCTTAACTTAACACCACGACTGGACCTTGTCAGTATGGCGGTCGTGGTGCCCAGAGAAGAAGAGGAAAAGGAATATAAGAGAGAAGGAAAAAAGGTTAGAAAAGAAAGAGGGAAAAAGGAAGAGGAAGAAGAGGAGAGAGAATGGAGTTCATTAATTATAAATTTAGAGTGGTTAGGAGAGATAAAAAACGTTGTAATACAACAATAGAACCTCGATGGGCGTTCTGTGGCTAGTGTGGTTGTTCGGCGCAGCATCATCGCCATTGGCTTTGGTACGCTTCGAATTTGACATTGCTGGAAGTATTTTTATCCTGACACGAGAAAAAAGTAACAGTATGGACGGAATGTTGGTAACGCGGCATACGCGTGCATTTTGGGGTAGTATAATTATTATAGAGCAACGCGTACCAAATGTCGACAGAGGGGCTCAGTAGGAGGGAAATACTTAGAGAAGTGGTATTTATTGCGGTGCACGAATATGTGGACAAGTCGAATAATGTTGTGTGAAGAAAGTCCTTTATGGAAGTAATGGAGGAGGAAACGCCGAGCGGAAGTGGTAAATCCTTGATAAGTGGATTCGATAACTAAGTATCTATTAAGCTGATTGTACAAAATATCATTGTGGACAGACGGGTGTAAATTGCTGCGAAGAGAAGAATATTTAATGATGAGGAAAGTGGAATAGATTGACCTTACAGCAAAGTGAAGAAACAATACGAGCGTTGCTATCTATGGAAAGAGTCAGGAATCGACGACGGTACCGGAACCTGTGCTGTCCATGTCTAAGTCTGTCCATATATACCTAGCCGAAGGAAAAGAAAGTCCGGGCAGTTGACGACTAAAATATCATCGACATAACGGCGAAGCAGAAGGGGGGGACTAGTGGGAAGTTTGCTGTATTTAAATTCAAGCATTGTGAGGTCGGCAGTGTCGGAGCTAGCATTGCCACCTATGGGAACGCCTTTATCCTGGCGGAAGATGTAGCCAACGAAGCGCACATAGGACTCATGCACAACGTAACGGAGGATGCCGTCAATTTCAGCATGGGAATAAGCGGTTCCGGAAAAACGAGGGTACTCAGAATAGAAGATCCAATTAGGAGTAATTAGAAGGGCATCAGACTGAGCGTTATGAAAACAAAGGGTAAAGAGATAACTGAGCGCGTCGTAGATTACGTGATGCGGAAGTTTTGTAAATAGGATGGAAAAGTCTGCAGTGTGCAGGTGATTAACAAGTCCGCATTCGCTGATAAAGGATAGTACCTCACTAGAGTTACGTACGCTATGAAAGAGGGCTTGATACTGGAATGCG